AATAGGCGGAAAGACATTACCGATAAAGAGAGGAGAGACTAGAATGGTCATTTCTGGTTTACTAGCAGTCATCAATCAGCCATGCCCAAACTCAGATGATGTACTATCCGAGGCTTGATTAGGAGTAAACCAACTACCCATTGGCGGTGACCAATTGCGGCTAGTAAGCCAGAACTGGTCATTTCAGTCTCCCATGTCTTTGTCTGCAATGTTCGTCTGAAATTTGTCACTTCCGATCAAATTAATGTTACGTTCAATATCTCTTTTGCACCCTCGTTTAACTCACAGTCGTCCGTTATTCATTGAATAGTCTGGTAAACGTGTTCAGGCAGGTTTGTGATTCATTAGAAAGGTTTTCCGAATATACGTATGTTTCACGAGTCACTTCATCAAATCATCATGAGTTCTACCTGTTTTCCTCAAAATACGCACCTGCATGGCCACAAGTTTTTTTCTAGGGCACTTATAATCGTTTTCGAAATTCAGAAACCCAGTTGGACTAATACTGAATATCAAGCTTTTCCTGACCGTGGAATACTAGACTGTAGATGTGTTTTTGCCACCCTTCGAGCATTCGGAACAAGCATTGATGTCCGATTATCGTATTAAGGTAGCATGTCTGCGTCTCCCTAGGTATAATACTTTTGTTAGCTCAAGCTTTACCATCCAGTATTTTAGATCACGACGGTTTCTGTCTCCGTCAACTGCTGAAAGCACACTTTCCTGTCCATCAGGTGGGAAACCCGTTCCCCTTATCTACTAACTATTCATGCTTTTTTAAATTACGTTTATCTGACGTTTGTTACCACTGCCATGCCGATAATATTAACAATAATAGTAGACTATCACGGCAAGGTATAAATTGTCGGGGCGGTCGGTATAGAACAGAGAAAGCTGGAAGATGTGACATTAATGAAAGGAACCTACCTTCTTTGCGCTTCGTTTATTAAATTTGCTCAGGGCGAACTGGGAGGCTGGCAGATGGAGGTCCGGCGTGGCATCGCCGATTATCCAGTCGTGCTTGAGGGTCTGATCGGCGGTCATGCGGATCAGGGGATCCACAACGAGCAGCCGCTTGACAACATCCCTCGCGTGCATGGTCACAGTTGCCCACTCAGGTCTGTTTAATTCGTAAGCACCTTGGAGGATTGAACGGAATGTTTCGCCCTCCTCCGCCATTTCGAATGGTTCAGTACCACAAATCCTGAAGATATCAAGTGGCTAAATAGTGTCTATTATTATTTAATGAGTATCTACTTTATACGGTAATTAGTTGAATATCATCAATAATGGATACATTGATTGGCGCCGATTGGAAACACCGCAGACCTAATTGGTCTTAAATAACAATGCCGGGAGACTCTGCTCTTATAAGTAAACATCGTCTGTATACTTTTTACTGAAAATGGTATTGTATGGGTTGCCAACAACACTAGTAAGGAACTTGTAACGAATGAGTTTGAGCGATTACCTTGACCACAGCCAACATAGAAAAGACCTCGTCAGTACGTAAAACACAGAAGTCTGTGACCCACGTTTTTTAAAGAATTTTTAATACCATGTCAAAAGGGCACAATTTAAATTAACTACTGTGATAGGGAACTCGAGAAGTTAGGTGTTATCTCGTTCGCTCTCCCTCTCAAGTACATATTCCTATCCACTAACCGGTCAATTTTAAAGATTTTTTGGTGAACATCCAGTGAACGTCCTATAATCCCTGCTTGCATGATGTCAAGATATGTTTAAAAGCAAATTTCATTGGAATTTATTGGCTAATTTTTTCAGAAATATTCTCATTGGCTTTTTTGTTACCGTGTGCCTGTGTGCCCAAATAAAATAGTACTTCTGAAACCATGGTCTTGAGTGGTATTCCAAGCCACGGGTGTCAGTCGCATAAGTGAAATTCCACTTCGTGGAGATGCTCTTTAGTCTATTTGTAATTTTGACTGTGTCTTAAAAGTAACTATGATAAAGACCAACGAATATAGGAACTTACATGATGAACAGCAGAACGCCCAGTGCCCACATATCGACGCTTGGTCCATAATTATGGCTGAGTAGAATTTCAGGAGCACAGAACGTTGAATCGCCACATACCATTTCTAGTTCGGTATCTCTTCCAAGGATCGTTGTAAAGGACACATCGACTTCAAAAAGTGGAAGTAAAGGGTCTGTTAATCTGTCAAAGGTATCGCTGAAAAAATAATTTTAACTTAGTGCGCCGTCTTATGTTCAAAGACAAATTGAAGATGTCTTTGAGTGGCGCTTACTAGGCCTCAACATTAAAACGACATCACATAAGATTTGAAAAAAAAAAGTTTGAGTAAAAGTAATCCTGCAAATTAATTAGGAGAGACCAGACGTTCGGGCTTTCTTGGAAGATTTTGACATGATAATAAGGACCTTCTGCAAGAGAATATAATTTTTATATTTAAGAAATTTGGAAAAACGAGTATATTGCAAAACTGTCTGCACGGGTCAGTACTAACGCCAACAAACTTACGTATTTTCACGAGTGGTCCTTCCGGCGCGTCTACGTACATCAGATTCCTCGGCTGAAATTTAAAATCAAAATTCTGGTAAATTAGCATAATATTTCCACCTTTTATAGGTTTCCAGTTAACTCCTCTGGTGGAAGAAAACATGACTTGAAAGAAGTGCTTCTTATTCTTCACAAATATGAATTAAAATGCTTCTTATCCAACAATTCTGGGAAGAGTTAGCAGCGCTTTTGTATTTTGTCTCCTTGGAAACTTCCAGTCAGTCAGATTTTTAAAGTAGCATTCGTACTTTTGAAGATCTACTGTTATAAATGTGTTATGGAAAGTGCACGACAGAGAAAAAAGTGGGGTTACTGGAATGTTATTTAGGAAGCCAATTCCCCAGTAGCATAACACAAAATATATACATTTTTAAAGTCTACTGTGTTGAGGGATTAAGTCAATTTTCGCCTGCAGATAAACTGAATATTACATTTCTGGCATTGAGAGTCTAAGAGCTAACAGTGACTGGCGACCGTTATCGAAAACGTTTACGTGTCTTGTACTCAAAGAGGGTTCACCCAGATGGTTCAAGACAGACGCAAACGCTTCGGTCGAATTTTGAGGAACGAATAATTTTGCGCAATTAAAATTTCGATTGGTTTCTAATTTCAAATCTATTACACATCGGTTAACGTTTTTGTAGGGCTATTTGAGGAACGGAATATATGTCAGTTATTTGTAGACTAATCCACAGCTTAGGGGCGAAATTCGATAATATTTTTATACAGGGGATCCGAGTGTGTTAAGAGATCACGTTGAAAATATCGTCATAGTGTCCGCACCTGTAAAGTGCAAAATTGAGATCATCTACGCGATCAATTTGTCTTATATATATAAAAAATCATACTTTGAGTAAGTTACATTACAAGGAAGGTATACATGAAAATAAATAAATTTAAATATAACATTCATCATTTATCGGTAGATTTTCTGAATACAGATCCTTGCGGTTGCCTAGCAATCGCCTGCTGTCTAATCTGGGTACAAAGAATTGAAACACATTGAAGTAGACAAAAGATTTGTACTTTTAAGACCTCGCCGGAGCTGTTTTATGAAAGCTAACGGATGACAGCCAGAGGGGCAGCCGCTCAAAATATGAGGCACCACTCCGTATATTACAAGAGTCTCCAAGGCGGTTTCTGAACTGTAACAACCCGCAGGTTCAGGCATACCCAACCGATCCCATACAACGAGTTGATGCCGTTTCATACAACCTATAGGCGCGTTTACCCTTAACAAAACTTCGGTGGTTATCCGCCAAATCACTTGCAATGCACATCGGAGATCCTGGTCATGCTGCTAACCTTCGGGGAGCGAACATCTTAGGCCAGAGAAACTCAAGGGTCAAATAATCAACACTTCAATTTTAAGTTTCCGATTTTAAATTTATCAATAACCCTCTACACCAGTCCTGCGTCATCACGTTCACAGAACCCGAGACAAGATGGCTACGCAAAAACTAAGAAAACCGCGCAAACAAGGACGCGACGCCACATTTAGCAGATAGGGAAGAAAAAGACTTAACAGTTACGAACAGCCCTTGCAAATTCTAAGTTACTCCCCATGGCGAGGTCATGGATCAAAACACATTGATTTTTCAAGCCCTCTAAACATTCGTCAAAAGGCTGAAGCAGCGCGAAGAGAAAAACAGCGATGAAATCAAGGCTGATTAACTCATCAGTTCATTTTATTCCTAGTGGAAGTTGTGCGATTTACGCATCAATAGTGATAAGCCGACTAAATTGTACGATCCGTCAGCTGTTAAATTAACTCATTATAGTCAACCCTTCAGATTCTTTAATGTTGCCCTGGATAACTCAGCCATAAATAAAGTATTTTACATTTCCATGCAAAGATACTTTATATGCGTTTCCTGCCCCAAATTCTCCTAGGAGCATTTTGTAGACTATGCCTATTGTTCTGTTGAAGACCATCCATAATCTCCTTATGATCAAAAATAATTCTGTTAATCCTTTATCACCGCCTTCAGTCACCAACTAAAGCTAGAGTGTACAGGTCACAGAAATGGGCATATTTGCAGACAGAGTTAATCAATTCGAATCGAAGTGGGGGCCCAGCCCGATGGAGATTTAATCAAAAGTACTAACCCTCTAGGAAAGAGTTAAGACAGGAGGTTTAAGTTCGTCTCTGCTCACTAATTTATAGCTTTCTATTTAAACTATTAAACGAACTTCCCTAAAAGCAATCTGGTATTTAAAGGTTAACTTCACTTTTTTCACTCTGCCAGTAGAAAGAATAGCTAAACTGGGGAGAAAATAAATATGACGAAACTGTTCTATTGAATGGATTTTGATATCTCAAAGATAAATTATCATAAAGAACGAGTAGGTATGGAGGAGACAAAGATACAAAACTTCCATATTTTAAACGATCCTCAAAAATTCGTCTTAAATCACGAAACGCAAAACCTTCTGGCGAAATGTTAAACATGTGCCGATTTTTCAAGTTTTTACTTCAGTCTAAATACCATTATGGATTTTAAAGGAGGACAAACATAGCAAGGATCAGTTTGCCACATTTGAAGCCAGGAATATGCTTCATATATAAAGCGTTGAAATCTACCCACAATTTACTAAAATTGGGCTTCCCTTTTAGCAGAGTAGGTTTTTTAGCGATAAAAAACCTAAAAAAACCACATTCACTGTACCTTGAGACTTCTATGAGCAAGTCCGTTATCGTGTAGATAACTCAAACCCTTGAGAATTTCACGCATGCAAAATGCCAATTCCTGCTCACTGTACTTTGGTAGGGAAGCCAGTCTGAAGTATAAATCAGGGAAGATTTTTGTGAATGCAGATGTTCGAAAACCTATATTAATTATTTAGTAGCTCCAAAACCAACCAGCGTTTCCAAAGCTATAATGTAACATTCTGAGATCAGCATAAATTTACCGATAAGTCAGTCCGCCTCGCTGGTGAAATAACTGTAACATTATAATAAAGATGTTAAGAATTGAAACCCATCTGCAGAGTATATATTCTAAACAGGAGAACATTACCGACCAAAACCAGGGAGACCAGAATGCTCATTTCTGGCTTCTTAGTCGTATTAGCTAGACGTATCCGACCTCGGGTGTTGTGTTGCCCAAGGTTCCAGTCAAACGCTCTAACCCACGATTTCTTGGTTAGCGCCTATGCATTCTATCTAAATCACCAAGACCACGAGCCCGTGGCTCGATAATAAAAGCATTGCACTTCTTTACTAAAGGTCGCGGGTTGGAGTCTCGGGTGGCACAACTGATGATGGCTAATAAGCCAGAAACGACCATCCTCTTTCTTGTCATTAGTGCTCTCCTGCCTACACTACTAGCCGCTGTGCGGCTGCTGGCGTGGCTCGAGAGTGAGCGCCAGACAGGACGGAACGAGAGAGCTCCGTAATTAATCGATAAACGTCTATGCATCAAGTAAATATTCCACCATCAGACAATTGGTTTATTTATTATCTCTAAACAGTTTTTTGTCTATTTTTTGTCATGCACACAGAATAACAAGTGAAATGCATTTAAATGTTTTTTTTCCTGTATACAATTTTAAGTGAATTATATTCGCTACGCAATTAGTTTATATAAGTAATTTGACAAATTATAGCTCCTATGCTATGAACGATTTCAAATGAATTTCTGAGACGTCTTGCAAGACAACTTCAATTGCAGGGCTACAGCAAGCGTGATCTCACTAAGGCCTGAAACAATATCAGTTTCTGAACCTGTTTGACTAAACCTAAGTGATTTGGAATGGTAACCAGATTTGAGGCTGGGATACGCATTGACTTTTCTAAAATAATCGAGGATTAAAATACATATTTTTATATAAGTTATCGTATGTTATGATAAACATAATTGGATGGAAAAACGGATATTGTACTTGCATACTACAATGCATACTAAAATACTGTTTATAAAACTAATCAAAATATAGTAAGTATAAAAAGCTTGAACCCAAACAAACTCGTCAAAAAGTGGAGTCCCATAAATGGCCTCTGAAATAATCTGGATGAAAGCCGCTGATTCGAAGACTTCCTTC